CGTTCAGTGGATGCCTACGTGAAAACAGGCACGAGCAAACAATCCTAAGCTACCTCTAAGTGACAAAACCTAAGGCCAAGGTTAGCGATGAACAACCCCTTAGATGTTTGAATTTTTCTCCCCAGATATCTCTGTTGCACTGGTGCCACCGAGATTACTTTCATTTATTTGATTTTATTTATACTTGTTGGGCAAAAACCAGCATCAAAATGCTGTCATCTAACTGACAGTCCTCAAAAGGACCACTTCTCTAGCTACAACACAATGGAGAAAAATAATTTTTGTGTATCTTAAATTCGAATTTATAGCTGCCACTGCTAGAATGCCTCTTTTTTCATTAATGTGCAACATCTTTACCCAGACAGTTTAAACCCTATAAATTAGTCTACAGTAATAGATGCTAAAATGAAGATTTTAGGGCTATGCTTCTCAGCTTGCCAAATGCCTACTGGCTAATAACTGATTCAATATCCTGAGTAAATACCCCAGCTACAAAAAAAAAAGCCCAAAGGGGAATGGTTTATTTTGAAATGTCTCTGCAACAATTCTTGGGAACTGCAAGGTACTTTTTGGTTAGGCCGTCAACCTTCCCTTCCAAGAAATCACAGCGAAAATGTCTGACTCCACACAGCTCCATGGAATTAGCTGCGATCACGATACAACCCTGACTACTGCTACTAACACACGCACAAAATCTTTCTTCAGTTATCTAATGAACACGTGTTAGGTCACAAACCTGTAACGCAGTTTTCAAGACCAATCCTGCCAACAAAGATTCCTGCCAAATGATAAAAACGACATCAAACACAAGATTATTGCCTACAAGCTTAAGACTTTGCTTAAAATAATATTACCAAGTTAAATAACTTCAAAGAGTGCAAGAGCTACTTGGGTGGGAAGTCTTGTCTAAAATAAGAGCAAAGTTTATTTTGACAAAAAAACCCTAGAATGTGCTGGTAATGATCCAATGAGCTTGAAAGAAGCTGATGAACGCTAGGGAATGAGGGCTGCACAGTGACGTAGCTGGGGTGGGAGGAGGAATATAAACTTTCTCTTAAGAAAATTATTATCTAAAATGAGCAGAAATCCAGGGCTAAAGGGGGAAAAAAAAAATCTTCTACTAAGCATCCACAACACTCGGTACTATGGGTAAAATCTCACGCTGAATCTTAGCAATTTGCAGAGAAAGGTGGGAATCCAGCTTTGCATTTGAGTTAAGATTACACACGGGGAAACAACATCCTGCATTAAGTGCTTTAGGGGCAGCAACTGAGTTTTGAAAACTCTTACACCGATTTTGCTGGGTTTATCTATATGAAAAATAAAAACTCTTTCCTTATGGAACCCTTTTACAAGTTCTCGGTGACTCGGCTACTCTGGGGGAAGGCCAGCACGATGCTTTCATTTTCTTTCTTTGCAAGCAGTGTCTCAGTTGAAGGAAAACTTTTATACCACACAGGGGAACTCAAAATCTTGGTGAACTCATCTCCGTTGTTCTTATGCACCTTGAAGGCAGAAGTTAACCCTGGGGAGTCTAACTGACCCCACGCCAGTCCATATTCACAAACACCCTTGTGATTTCTCTTCAAAATAACATCCAAATCAGACCTAAAATCTGTAAAGTGAAGTATGGGGTTTTTTCCCTCAGCAGTGGCCGGGAGCAAACACTTAAGGAAAGAAAAGGAGGATCCAAATGAGTGT